AGGTTTCTGTATGTTGTTTTTGTGTCCTGTGACTTTGCTGAATTAATTTATCAGTTGTAGTTTTTTAGTGGAATCTTTAGGTTTTCTATAACTGGTACCATGTCAATTGCAAATAGAGTTTTACTTCCTTACCAATTCGGATGCCTTTTCTTTCTTTATTCTGTCTAATTGCTGTAGCTAGGACTTCTGGTACTGTAGTGAATAGAGGTGGTGAGAATGGACATGCTTTTCTTGTTCCTCCTCTTAGGGGAAAAGCTCTCAGTTTTCCCCCGTTAGTCACCGTGGGTTTTCCATATATGGCCTTTATTATGTTGAGGTATGTTCCCTCTAAACTTACTTTGTGAAGGGTTTTTAATCAAGAATGGATGTTGTACTTTGTCAAATGCTTTTTCTACATCTATTGAAATGATCATATGATTTTTACCCTTTCTCTTATTGATGTGAATCACGTTAATTGATTTGTGAACATTGAGCCACCCCTGCATCCCAGGAAAAAAAATCCCACTGGATGGAGAATGATAATTTTAAAAGTGTTAAGAGTGTCTATATGCTAAGCACTCTTCCTGGTGCTTCGGATATAGTAACTCTAACAACAGTATGAAGTACAGTTATTAACTCCATTTTGCTAAAGAGGAAACTGAGACAGTAAGAGATTAAATAAATTGCCTGAGGTCATATAACTCTTTAGGGGTAAAACTGGGTATCCAACCCCAACAGCCTGACACCAGAGACCTAAGAGTTATTTTAGACCTGTGTTGTCTCATACTGTAGCCACTAGCCACATAGACTTTTGAGCACTTGAAATATGGCTAGACCAAACAGATGTGCTTTAAGTATAAAATATACATCAGATTTTGAAGACTTAGTATGTGGTAAAAAGTAAAATATCTCATGAATAATTTAACATTGACTGCATATTGAAATGATATCTTGGCTGTATTATACTAAGTAACATCTATTTTTAAAATTTTGCTTGTTTTTTTCTTCTTTTAAAATGTGGCTACTAGGGGGCACCTGGGTGGCTCAATGGGCTATGCCTCTGTCTTTGGCTCAGGTCATGATCTCAGGGTCCTGGGATCGAGCCCCACATTGGGTTCTCTGCTCAGCAGGGAGCCTGTTTCTCCCTCTCTCTCTCTGCCTGCCTCTCTGCCTACTTGTGATCTCTCTTTGTCAAATAAATAAGTAAAATCTTGAAAAAAAATGTGGCTACTAGGGAAGCCCTCTTGGGTCCCTGCCCCCTTTGGGGAGCTTTGTACCGTTGCTCTATAAATTTTGCTTTGCTCCCCACCAAACAAACAAAAAATGTGGCTACTAATAAATTTAAAATTGAATGTGTGGGGGCGCCTGGGTGGCTCAGTCATTAAGCATCTGTCTTCCGCTCAAGTCATGGTCCCAGGGTCCTGGGATCGAGCCCCATGTTGGGCTCCCTGCTTGCCGGGAGGCTTGTTTCTGCCCCTTCCACTCCCCCTGCTTGTGTTCCCTCTCTCCCTGTGTCTTTCTCTGTCAAGTAAATAAAATCCTTAAAAAAAATAAAATTGAATGTGTGGCTTGCATTATATTCTTATTGGATAGTGCTGCTGAGTGCCTAAGAGTGAAGAGTCCAACTGGAGAGAAAGAATAGAAGGGTGGTGGAAGGCAAAGGAAAAAAGGATATTTAGGATCAGATGAGATTGGCATTAAAGTTTATCTTTGAGGTTAGTGTGTTGAGAGTGATCCGTGGACAGTCTGCTTCAGATGTGCAGATCGAAGCCCACCCTGAAACGTCAGTCATCCCTAATTATTTGCACTTCTTGCAGAGTTTTTAAGGCTACCTAGAAAGAGGAAGCTGCAGAAGAGACCGTAACTGGTTTTATTAAGGCAGTGAGTGTGAGTCTCATTCTTTTAATTTTCTGATCAATTTTGTTGAATTGAACTTCAGCAAAATGAAAGACATAGGAAGCTGCTGACAGTTAAACGATTTGCTTTTCAGTTTGGGTGCTTGGTACTTACTTATTTAATAAGTGGGGGAAAACACTTAAAATTACCTTATCATTTAGTCTGGGCTTTGACTGAGATGAGTGCTGCTTAGCTCAGTAAGCAAACTGGGTAAGTGCCATTGGCTTTATGATTTAGTGCTTTGTGGAGTGCTTGGAATTTTTACACTGGACCCTAACCACCCCAAACAGTGTATTTGTATATTCTGGTGCACTTATTCTATAATACACTTTATTGAACTGACTTATACCACAGCTTGGTATTAAAATTCAAAATCTCCTATGGGTGATTTTGTTATAAATTACAAAAAGTTAAAAAAGAAAATTCTAATGGGCCAGGGTAATTTTAATCTATTAATTCTAAGACAATCATGATGAACTATTTTCAGCTTTTCTTTATAGTAAGTGATAATAAAAAATGTTATTTTGTCATGAGTATGTAGAATTTGTAAATCTTAAGGTCTTAAAGTAACAGTTCATATTGATGTTAAATAGGGTCAGTTTTTTAATATATATTAAATACATTGCTTTTGTTATCCACAACCCTGATTAAGGATCAATTAAAAAACACTGATAATGGAATCAACTGAAGAAACCACCCTTCATAGAAAAGTTATCAGAGGGAACGTCTGCCTGAATAAAATTGTTTACTTGAATGGCAGCTTGATTAGACATTTATCAACTATTTTTTTAATATACACCATCCTTTTTTTTTTTTTTTTTCAATAACGTGCTTGGCCTGCTGCATAGTTTGAAAGCATAAGAAATAACCTTGGTATAGTGCTAAGATTTCCAATGCTTTTTAGCAGCCGACAGTAACTGTCAAATAGCAACCTGCAAAATCGTATCAGAAGATTTTCAACAGACCTAAGGAGGCTGTAAAATTTATATTACCAGCACAGACTAGAAATAGATATAAGGGTAGTGTCCAGTTTGCAAATGTTTCCTTTAAAAAAAAAAGGTTGGAATGCCTGGGTGGCTCACTTGGTTAAGTGTCTGCCTTTGGTTCAGATCATGGTCCCAAGGTCCTGGGATCAAGCCCTGCATTGGGCTTTCTGCTCAACGGCAAGTCCGCTTCTCCCTTTCCCTCTCCTCTTGTGCTCTCTTGCTTTCTCTCTCAAAATCCATGAAATAGAATTAATGTTTTCCATTTTTAAGTTGAATAGAATCTAGAATGCATTTTCTTACAGTATTATAAATAGACTTAGGATTCCAGGCCAACCTTCAAACACATCTTTAACATTCCTGAGTAATAGTTCTGTTTCACCTTCCTTTCAACTCTGTTTGTACCATGACTTCTTTAGAAAATGTATTCCCGTGATAGGAGAAGATGTGTGATTGAGTCCCCTTTTCTCTCTTGTTAATAGAAATTTCTCAGTCAGGGGCCTTGAGAGATGGAAAAAAACCTTCATGAACACAAATATCTTATATAAAGAAAGTATTTTTCAAGGACTTCTCTTCCTGGATGTTTTGAATTACAGCATTAAGAGATCCTGGGTCTCTGCAGGGGCAGGAAATCCAAATTGCTACTGTCTTGTGTTTGATTGTATGAGTCATTTGTGAATTGAGTCAGGTACTTTTTATTCCAATATAGAAGAGAAATAATGCATTTTTTATAGTATTGTACAGCATCCAGTGAAGGTTATGTGCGCCAACTAAGCTTTTTGAAGGCTTATTTTCTTTTGTCTCTCCAGCACTTAGCACAGTGGCCAACACACTAAAGATACTGTGTTTGTTGAATGAATGAATGAATGAATGAGTGAATCATTCGCTGGCCCCACGAAGGGTTTGCAATTCTATGTGGTCTTTCCGAGGTGGTGGTATTTCAATTCTTTTTATAGCAATATTAAAATTGAATCACGGATTTTAGAGTGATAAGCTTTTTGAGGTACTTTGCTTTCTCGAACAGGAATGGTAGGGGGAAACAAACCATGAGAGACTGTGGACTCTGAGAAACAAACTGAGGGTTTTGAAGGGGATGGGGTTGGGAGGGTTGGGTCAGCCTGGCTGGTGGTAGGTATTAAGGAGGACACGTACTGCATGGAACACTGGGTGTGGTGCATAAACAATGAATCTTGGAACACTACATCAAAAACTAAAAATGTATTATATGGTGACTAACAAAATACAATAAAAAACAAACAACAACAAAAAAAGAAAAACAGCATTTTTTAAAACTCTAGATGGGATGGCTTAGTTGCCATCAGCCCACAATAAGGCAGTTGTTTTTGGTGTATTGGAGAAATTAGCAGAATAAAGAAATTGCCTAAGTGAATTAGATTGCCAAAGAACAAGCTGTAATTTTCCAAATTATGAAAAAAACTTATAAATTTTGATATCAAGGGAACGCTTCTATTTTAAAATAATACATAATAAACTTGTTTTGGCCTTAACTGTAAGCCCCATGTTTCCTAATTTTTATTCCTTTTCATAAACCATAGGCGGAGAAAGTAAGCAGAATACTTGTGAGCATGGGCTTTGGAACTCTGGAAGCCCTGATTTCAACCCCACTCTGCCACTTAATCCTCTGTGATCTTGGTCAGGCTTTATAAATTAAATAATCTGGTTTTCTCACTGTAGTAAGGGGATGATAGAGAATCCTTGTCATGCTTAAGTGAATTAATGTCTATAAAGCAGTTAGACACATAGAAATGCCGAGTACGTGTTAGTTGTTGCTTGATTACTCCTCTGTGTGAGTTACCGTTTTCTGCCTTTGTTCATGTTGACCTTTTTTTCAAGTATATTTGAAAAGTTCCTTGGTGCTCTTTAAAGACTTAGTTTAAGGTGACTCCTCCCTGTATTTTGTCATGTCTCTCACTCCTTCCTTTTATGGTAGTTGTTACAGTACTCCCCGTGTACTACAGTTAATGTGTTTGCTACATTAGATCACAAAATCTTTAAGGACATATATATTTACATAGTACTTATATATCAGGTGTTGGTTCTATTATGTTTAGAGGAAATATTTAGTAAAATATTTCAAGCTCTGTACTTCATGTAAGCAATTTTCATCTTTTTTAATAATAGGTAAATCAAACTGGGAAGATGATGGTTGGGGAGCATGGGAAGAGACGGAACCCCAAGAACCTGTAAGTCTTCGTAAATATATGCGTGCTTATTGAAAGTGGCATTTTCCGTTTGTAATGATGGTGACATATTCCAGTGTTGACACTTTAAAACCTTCATCAAGAACATCTTTGTGTTTACTTACTAGTACTGAAGTAGATCCCTTTCTTAAGGATTTATTGACTTTATAGTTAAGGAGGCTAAATGGGGAATAGCTGCTTTAGGATTCTTTCTCCTTTAGTAGTTATTATTTTAGACTTCTCCACTTACTCATTCAACATGTCTTTGGTAAGTGCCCACCATATTCTAGGCATTTTTCTAGGTGTTGCACGTATAGCCATGAGAAGGTACATGAAGTCCCTACATGTGTTTTCACCTCTGGGTAATAGAAAATCTAGCCTAAACTGACTTAAATCACAGGGACATTCATTAGCTTATATAGAAGGAAGGCAGGGTAGTATGGACTCATAGGCTGGTTGATTAGAAGATTCAACTATGTCATCAAGGACATAAGTTCTTTCCTTCTGTCTCCTCTGTATAAACAGCAGTGTGGACTTCATCCCAAAGACTGTTCTTCAATAGATGGGGTATGCCACCATGTTTCTTCATTCATGACCAGAGGGAGAAAAAGACTAGGATTTCCGTGATTCTTATAGGAGCAGGGAACAACTTTTTCAGAAGCCTCTCATGAACCTTACCTATATCTCTTGGCCTGAATAAGGCCAGACACTCATTTCTGAAGTAGTCACTGGCAAGGGATATCTGACTTTTCATCTGTCTGTCTTGCCATTCCCTGGGCCTGGAGCATTAAAGGGTCCATTTCTCCTTAGGCCCATGACTGCACAGGAGAGGAGTTGATAACTGAATGAAATCAGGATTTCTTACGAAAAAAGAAGAATGAATGTATGTATTGGAAAGGTCTTATCATCCTCTTGCCCACAGCTTATACTTAGGAGAGAGAAGTTTTTTCAAAAAGAGAGGTAAAAGTAGCAAATGGTGGTAATCAAAGTTATATGGAGAATTCAAATGGTGATGTGGTAGCAAGTGAGCAAGTGACCACCGTAGCTTGGGCGGAAGGCCTTTCAGAGGATGCGACATTGGAGCTGAGGTCCGAAAGACTGCAGGGAGCCAGCGAGGTGACAGTCTGACAAAGGGCATTGCAGGCCAGGGCAACAATCCATGCAGAGGCCCTATGGCAGGACCGAGCTTGGAGTTCAGAGGACATAAAGAAGGCCAGTGTGGCTTGGCAGGACTGAGAGGTTACAAGATGGGGTCAGAGAAGGAGGCAGGCCTGATGTAAGGCTTTGTGAATTTGGAGTTTATTCTGAATGCGGTAGGAAACCACACATAGCTGATTTCTCATTTTTAAAGTTCCTCTTGGCTGCTTTTTGGAATTGAACTTGGGGGCAGAAGCGGAAGCAGGGAGCAGTAAGGAGGCTGTTTTGATAGTGTAGTTGAGAAATGATGGTGACTTACATTAAGGTGATATCAGTGAAAATGAGAAAGTGATGGGTTCGGCATAAGTTTTAGAAATAACAGTAAGACTTTCCTGTAAGTTGGTTGTGAGGGCTGAAGGGAAAAAGAAAAAAATCAGGGGTTAACTTCTTTGATCTGGGATATGGTGGGGAGTAGGTAAAGCATACTTGATAAGTTGTTGACATTCCCTGGGGCTGGGTAATAGGTACTGTTCTCTTCATTTTGTCAGTGTTTGAAAATATCCATAATAAGTTTTGTTTTTTTTTTTTAAGATTTTATTTATTTATTTGACAGAGAGAGAGAGACAGTGAGAGAGGGAACACAAGCAGGGGAAGGGGGAGAGAGAGAGAAGCAGGCTTCCCATGGAGCAGGGAACATGTGGGGCTCTATCCCAGGACGCTGGGATCATGACCCAAGCCGAAGGCAGACGCTTAACGACTGAGCCCCCCCAGGCGCCCCCAGTTTTTTCTTTTTTTTTTAACCCTCCCAGGTATTTGGCTTGAGCAGCTGGATGGATGGCATGTGGTTTATGGAGTTGGGGAAGACAGAATAGGTCTGGGGGGGATGTGAAGGAGGATCGTGTTGTAGGAAGCAGAGCATGCTGGTGTTAATGCAGATTTACAGAAAAGCTCCAAGGAGAGATGAAGAACAGGAAACCATTTCAGAAGGCAGAGAATTGGGATGTGTTGAATAGGATGTAATGTAGCTCAAGGAACGTGGTTATGGCAACCCTTTAGCCAACAAACACCTTGTTCCTTGCCCCTCTAGTGCTTTGTCAACATGGAGACACAGCGGTACTCTGTTTGGACTACGACTCACTGGCTTCTGCTTTCTCACGATTTAGACTGTTTCATGGCTGGTATTTGAATCTTTCATTTATCTTGGATTCTTTCTCTTTGTTTCACACCTGGAGCTCATAAGAGGTTTTGATGGGGTCTGTTCCTCACCATCCAATATAGGATATTTCTGGAGGGCATAGTGTTCATGCCAGGCCACTGTGTGGGGTGTCAGCCTACCTGTCGGTGCTGCCTTCTGGCCGCACACCACCAGCAGTCCAGCTTGCTGTGGCAAGACTGGGGAGCGGAAGGAAGGGAGAGGAGAGGTGTGTGTAAAGCAGCTTGGAGGCTCTGCATGGCTCGATGTGAGCCAACCTCTCAGGGGGATGTGGCTGCACTTTGTGAATTTCTCAGAAAGAGGTAGTGTAACTAGCAGCTCCTTTGCATGTTGTGTTGGGTGCATTTACTTTTAGTATTTGTTCTAGAATCCTATAGCTAGTGACTATCATGAGTAATTCAACAAGCTCCCGAGCAAGTTGAAGGTTTTCTGGAGTAAACCTCATAGACATCACATGTTAAAGTGGACACAAGCATTTGTAATCTCAGAGGAGGTTGTTAAATACGTAAGATGGTGCTGGTGCTGAGTTATGGTACTTACTTACACACCCAGAGGCCCACATCTTAAAGTGTCTGCTGTGCGTGGTTGCTTCTTTCTGGAATGGATTTTTACTAGTGAGTGACATAGTTGAGGAGTTGTATGGGAGGCGAGTTTTCCTCACAAACATCTGTATTTTCTCTGCTAACTTTAAGGAAGTGGTTGACTGTCGGGTGTCATAGACCTGCTTTTTGGCTCACCTAGCAGTGTACCTGCCTTAAGCGTACACTTCGTTATGGCGTTTTAACCTAATACAGTAGGAAATTATTGCAACTACGATTTGGGGTCAGAGAAGCAGTAGGCCTGAGGTAAGGCTTTATGAATTCGGAATTTATTCTAAATGTGATTAGAAACCACACTATTTCTGGAAAGTTGGAAAGCTCACCTTCGCTGCTCCGTGGAATAGGTTGTAGTGGGTCTTTTTATTGTGCCTCTCATACTCATTAAGGTCATGGGCCAGTTTATTTTCTAGTATTTCATTTTGATGTGCCACTGCTCCAGCTGATTCCGGGTGCTGTGGATAATGATTCCTAGTTAGAGTGTGTATGTTTTGGTTTTGTTGTTGTTGTTGTTGTTTTTCTTTCTTTCTTTCTTTTTTTTTTTTTTAGAGTGTGTATGTTTTAACAGACTTCCTTTAAATCTGTGCAAGGGTGCCATCTTCTCTTTATTGGCAAGAATATCCTAAATCCGGGAATAACATCTTTTAACTGTTTCAGCGAAAAGCTGAAATATGCGTCTGTTCATTCCAAAACACGTTAACTTACGTGTAGCACATTTCTTCATTTGGATAAGATTCGAATGTTTACAAATGGCCCTCGTGGACGAGGGTACCTTGTGGTTCTCTTTGTCTTAATTGATTTGCTCACACAGCGGATTTGACAAGTGTGGCAAGAAAAAGAGTTGGCAACAATTCTGGGTGTACCAGTCATTCCTAACTACCCTTATTACCCTCCTATATACCCTTGTACCTTGTCATGACCTTATGTACATGGTGAAGGAGAAGATACTTGAATGACAACAAAAGTGGGCCAGGACAGTGGTACTGAGACGTTATCTGGGTGTTAACATGATCCTGCTGTATTTAACAATGCTTTTTGAATCTGGATCCTGTCGTCAAAATAAGACAGCGTCTTTGTTAGGGAGACTGTTTGGTGAATGAGGATAAAATGGTGGTGGCATGAAAAGGATATGACTTCTGCCTTATGCTGCATTGTCATCTAGAATTGTCCACATGTAACATAGGTATGAGGTTTTGCGGAGTAAAATTTGTTCTCCCAAGGCGATTGGAAATGTCAACACAGCTGTGGTAAGAGACTTCCGTTACTTCTACTGCTGTCTAGTATTATAAACAACTCCAAAGGCATAGCCAGCTCTAGAGACGTAACAAGAGTCAGAGTAAATTTTGGCAGAGGTATGAGGTGCATGCTCTAGTCAAGGTAAGAGAATGGAAAGGGAACTTTCCACTGTCCAGTGTTAGGGACAGACAGCAAACTCAACACCTGCCTGCCCTGAGAGTCTTACTGGTAGGTCTTGTCCACATTAAAGACAAGGCCAATATTGGAACAAGAGAAAGGTCTTGAAATCAGTTTATGGCTGTGTCAGGGTGCTGTAACTGTGGAAAGAGTGATAGGGTTCTGCCTCCATTGGGCTATGGTTCTCGTGACCAACAGAGGAGAGGAGTCTGGCATTAGAGAGGTGGTGTGTCTTGGTCTTTGGTGGGGGGCTGGGGTGGTGTGTGGGTGAACCGCAGGCAGGGCAGTTCAGAGTAAAGCAAAGCAGCAGTGCCTGCCCCTGGACGCTGACCTGGAGGCCATGTGGCTGCTGTTGCATCCAGCAGAAAACTCTAAAAACTTCAGGGTGCTTTTTATCTCCACAAGTCTATAGCTCTTTGAGAGTAGTTCCTTATTTTTATGGCAGGAGAGAGTGTGGAGGGCTTTTATAATCAGAAAGATTTAGTACCAGTACGGACAAGGCTTTTTTTTTTTTTTTTAAAAAAAAGAAAGAAGAAGCCTCTTTAGCTTTCTGTGATTCTGAAATGTCTGCTGTAGTCAGTGCTCAGAGAAGACCGCATGTTCTAATATCCTTTATCAGCAGGACCCGCCAAGTCGAAGATGGT